CCTTTACATACTTTGATGGTACTTTTTTCTTCTCCAGAACCCACCATAAAACTTTCCTTGGAACCCTATCGTATGCTTTCTCAAGATCTATGAACACCATATGTAAGCCCTTCTTCTTTTCTCGATATCTTTCCATTAATTGTCGCATCAAGAAAATGGCTTTCATGGTACATCTTCATGGCATAAATCCAAATTGATTTACAGAAACCTCAGTATTTCTCCTCAAGCGATGTTCAATAACCCTCTCCTACAACTTCATAGTATGGCTCATTAGCTTAATGCCTCTATAGTTAGAACAATTTTGTATATCTCCCTTATTTTTGTAAATAGGTACAATCATACTTTTCCTCCATGCATCAGGCATCTTATTTGTCTGAAGAATCTTATTGAAAAGATTGGTCAACCATTTTATTGTCACATCCCCCAGGCCTCTCCACACTTCAATAGGGATACCATCAGGTCCCAAGGCTTTATTAGTCTCCATCCTCTTTAAAGCCTCCTTAACTTCATGTGTATTAATTCTGCGCACAAATCTTCTATTCAAATCATCATAAGTGTCTTCCAAGTCCACCTCGTTTATATCGCCATCCCCATTAAATAGCTTGTTGAAGTAGTTCATCCATCTTTCATTTACATCTTTATCTCTCACCAAAAGTTTTTGATTTTCATCCTTGATGCATCTAACTTGGGTGAGGTCTTTACTTTTCTTATCCCTTATTTTTGCAAGTTTATATATACCTTTTTCACCATCCTTGCTCCCAAGATTTTTATACAAATCAGCGAAAACCTTGCCTCTAGCTTCTCGCACTGCTTTCTTTGCATTTTTTCTCGCCAATCTAAACTTTTGCAAGTTCTCTTCACTGGGGCTTTTATGCAAAGATCTAAAGCATTCCTTTTTATTTTTAATTGCCTCTTGCACCTCTCCATTTCACCACCATGTTTCATTTGTATGAAATCTATTTCCTTTGCTTTTCTCCCAACACCTTCGTTCCCATATTTTTAATACACTTAGCCATCTCATTCCATATTGCATTTGCTCCTCCATCAAACTCCCGTATATACCCTTACAATTAAAAATAAAGAAGAGTCATTTTGTCCTAAAGACGTTGCGGATACATGACAAATGACTATTTAGCATTGACGAGAGCATATTTAGGGTGTGCAGGCAATGGCGAACATATAAATTTTTATTTATGTCTGCACATTTAGTGATAGAGTTCGGGGGCAACGTCCCAAAAAAAAATTTAATTTTTTTTTTAAATGTATTAAGAATAAAAAAAATATAAACAAGAAAAGAGAAAAAAACTTTAATTTAATATAAAAAAAAATAGTAATCAAGAATAATATAAAGATGATTTTTCTATTGTTATTTTTTCTATTCTCAATATTCATAATTTTGTGATCTATAGTTATAAATAAGAATTATATGCAAAATAATCTTACCTTATTTTTTATTATTATTTTGATATAAAATATAATTAATTGTATCTAATAAATACTTCGCTCGTTTAAGAAAAAATCACCTAATAGAAAACCTATCTTATGCATTCTAATCTTCAAGTCACAACTGTGCGCATAATTAAATTCAACGCTTCACGTCACTTCACAGTAGACAATCTTTTACTGTACCAAAAATATCAAAGTAATTAAACCTTGATTTAAATTCCACAAATTAACATCTCAAGCAATCATCTCCATTACATGCTTCACATAGTGCAGAGTCCATGAAGTCCAATGCCTTACCGAGTAATTAATTTTTTTCTCCAAATATGTGTCTGCATTTGCAGACACATGCAACAAAGTGGGTCTGTCGATGTGTGCAGAATAATCTTTTTCGGAATCAATTCTTTTTTAATTTATGTTTCCGGAAATAGAAATGGATAGAAAAATCGTTTGGTAAAATCGATTTATTTTTTTGTTCCCGGGATGAACCGATTTAATTTTTGTGCTGGAAAACATAAAAAAGAATAAAAAATTTCTATTTTTTTTGTTCTCGGGCACAAAATGAGAAACACTTATCTCTCTCAATCACTCTCCATCTCTACCATCATCATCACCACCACCGTCATCTCGACACGACCACCGCCACCATCGTCGCCGCCATTGTCATACCACTAGTGTCGTCGTCACCCCCCACCACCACGATGCCACCGCCTCCATCCATCATTATCACCATGCCACCGTCACCACCACCACAACCATAACTACCACCGCCACCACCACCACCATTTTCACCGTCACCATCACTATCACCGTCACCATCATCACAACCATAACTACCGCCACCACCACTATCACCGTCACCATCACCACCACCACCACCACCACTGTCAACGCCAACATCGCCATCCCCACGCCACCACTGCCACCACCACCAGTGTCACCAACCACCATTACCATTGCCGCAACCACTACCGCCACTGTCACCGCCACCAACCACCACCACCATCGCCACCATTACACCACCCTTGCCACTACCATCACCATGTTACCGCCACCACCACTATCACCTACCGCCACCGTCACCGCTACAACCACTGCCACCACCACCACCATGATGTCATCACAACCACCACCACCATGCCACCGTTACCATTGTCGCCGCCACCAACCACCTTCCCCCACCATTGCAGCCACTGCCATCACCTCCACCACCAGCTCCACCATCACCATCCCCACCATTACCACGTCGCCGCCACTATTACCACCGCCGTCGTCGCAACCACTGTCGTCACAATCACCACGTCATTGTCACCACCATTACCGTACTGCTGCCGCCACCACCACCATGCCACCCGCCGCCGCCACACCATATGGAAAGTGTTGCTCCGAATTTTTTTTATATTTAATAGGAATTATTTTTTATTATTTTATTTATTATGTTATCAAACACAATTTTTATTCTCAGAAATAAAAATAAAACATATTATCAAATACATTGTTTTTCTTAGAAACTGTTCCGAGGCACCGAAATAGAAAAGAATTACTTCTTTTCAGGAACAGTACTAGGGAATAGAAATGGTTGTCATGTATACCCTTAGTGTTCCTGGAGCACACAATATTCAGTGGGGCAGGGGAGTGAGAAAGAGAAAAAAAGTTGATAAAAGAGGAGAGAGAAAAAAGATTAAATTTATTTTAAGCCAAATGTCAAAATTCTAATTGAAGGATCACAGTAATATTGATGCACCATAAATTTTTTCAAGTTTGACAATAGGAAATTGATAATAGTTGACAACTATTGATTGCTGACGAGGGTTTGGTATAGAATGATGTTTTGCATTGCATCAGTGATAAGGTTTGACACGTCGATTATGATATGTATAAATCATTTTAGAGAAGAAAATTATATCTAATGATTTGGTTGGAATACTTGGCAAATTACCCTTTGGCTTGAGGACAACATCACTTAATCATCTTGGTGGCCTTTCACTAGCCTAACTTTGTAGGGTAATTGTGTTACATATCCCAAATAGCTGGATCTTTAATAAGAGGCATTGATGTCATGCTTAGCTATATGAAAATACCTCCTCTTACCACCGCTACCAGGGACCCAATGATATAATTTGAGTTGGGTTTGCAAATACAATTAAGCAAACTAGAGTTATGCCACGTGCAGTACGAGTAGCTGCAACAACTTTTGATAGAGAAACGAAATTATGAATACTTTTTTTTAAAATGAATATTATTTCTCGTGCTGTTTCATGTAACATACAAAGAATTTCGTTCATTTTTTTTATATAATATATCACACGAGACAAATTATAGAAACAATATATATATATTTTTTTTAATTTATCTATCACTTCATCAATTATTTGAGTAATTTCAAATTTTTTAATCCCAGATAGTGGTAGACGCAACCTGTAACTGGTACTCAATCTTTTTCTGACTCCTGGGGCTTTCTCCGTGATGCTAGGTCTCGAGCTACTGGTTGTTATTACTTATTATGGTTGTATTAAAATAAAAAAAAATGTTATTATGATACTAGAGTCTAAGTCTGGCTACTGGTTAATAATATTTTATTTATATTTTTTATTAATTAACTTCAAAAAATAAAAATAAGGCTATAACTGATATTTTATAAATATTTTCTCTAAAGTGTTTGTCCTTTTGTTGATGAAGCTACAGCCTACAAGATCAAGAAAGTCATTGATGGTTGATTAATTAAGCTGGTATTTAAACCAACCATTGACATAATTATCATTTCGCAAATGCCGACTTAAGCCCACAAATATACGGAGATCTTTTTGACTTTTGAAAATCACTAGCAGAGAAAAAAATTCCACAATAAATACTAATAGCACTAAAAACAAAAGAGTTGAAGCAATATGCATGTGATTTTCAGCATTCATATATGACTTCAACCATATACAGGAACTCCCCTTAATCTTATTATAGTCAAAGATAGAATAGTTGATAATATAAAATGCCTACCCCATTATGTAGAAAACATGACTCCGCAAAAAAAGTCAAGTATTACTTTTTTTTTCGCTTGAAATCAATTCATATTATGTTATGCTATCCAGTTGGATTAGAGTGCAAAGTGCCCAACTTTGAAAGCTGAAACTTTTGACAATGTTCAATGATTGGTAAATCGTGTATTTTGATTAACCTGAAAAACATTTTTCAATTCAAAATAAATTGATCAAAATAAAAATAAATAAATATTAAAACATTTAAAATATCGATTAATAATAGAATGTAAAAATCAAAACAAAAATTGAATGGTGAGTGTTGGAAATTTAAGCATGAGGAACACTAGTCCCTCTTTTAAGGTAATTGTATTTTGTTTTTTCTGTTTGTGCTCTCAATTGATCAGATTCTGATTTTATAATAAGACAAAGTGGGAACTGACATGAGGTGAAGTTGTAGCTTGACATGTGTGACCGTTTCATAACACTCTTAATTGCTGGACAAAGCAGAGAAGAACAAGAACAACCAAACACACTAGCCGCCACTGTGGCCCATTAAAATAATAAAACCAACCAGCCTGTCTGCTGAAAATTTGTGTCTTTTCAAAATTCAATTATATAGCTGACTATAATATGTTAACATCCCATGTTCTTCTCACGTTTGGATTTAGGTTTGTGTCTGTGGTTATCCTTCAACTTTAAGGGCTATTATTACACCTCTGCTTCCACCTGAATTGTCTTATCAACTAACTAGGTAGCCATTTCTCAATCTCAAATCTCATGTCTTACTTTGTTTCACTGAAGGGGTATTTTCTTTGGTTTTGTTGAACTTTGAATTGAAGAAAATGACAAACTGTGTTGTATCCTTCAGTTTTTTTTTTTTAATTTGAAAACACATATGAATGTTATTTTCCATCCTGAAATTAAAAATAAGGTTTAATCTTCCAATTAAGCAAGAAAATAAGATTTCATCTCCATTTGGGTGCCCATGCCTATGCATGGCTATGTTTCTTATTAGTCTTTTATGTTAGAATGTTATATAATGCAGATTGCAGAGTATTGCAGTAATATATACACAGGACCATTATGAGTTGTGGCTGCTTTGGAGCCTCCACTATAAAGAAGAAAAGAAGTCTTTCTTATATTCCCAAAGAAATTGATGGTGAGGATCTACTGGTTACTTATCTTATTTTATGGCCTTCAACAATGCTAGAAACCTTCTGAAATTTCGTTATCATTTATATGTGGTAAAGATTGTCCTTAAAATCACCTAGCTAGCTTGATCCTTTAACCACTTTGAGTGATTAGTTGTTCCTAAACTGGAAAGATCTTTATCTAGAATTCCTTTCTTAACATATTATTACTTCCCATTTATGTACTTAGTATATATATTCTTCTGTTGTGCAGGCTATCCGCTAGGTAATATTAGGCATTTCTCTGATAAAGAACTGAGATTGGCAACCGATAATTATCATTTAAGACATAAGATAGGACGAGGAGGTTTTGGAACTGTTTACCAGGTATTCAGGTTACTCATGATTCTTGTATAAAAATGCAACTATGGAATTAATATGAATGTTGGTCCAATTGAACTTATCAAAATAATTCTTCAGGGGTGCTTATGCTGCTGAGTTGCTGCTATTTGCAGTTTCTTTTTCCTTTATCTCTTTCTTTCATGCTGAATATCACTTCTAAGATTTCATATGTCATATGAGATGCAAAAGCCAATCTGAGACTAACTAGAAATGGAAAACATCGACCACTAGGGTTAGCCTAGTGGTTGTGGGTGTGTGTGTTAGGTGTGTGTAGTGTAGTGGTGTGTGTTCAATTCCCGTGTAATGCAAAAATAAGAAAAGAAATGGAAAACATCAATACATTGTACCAATACATTGATTTATTTGAAAAACTCGTATGCAAAATATATAATGGGTTTAGTGGTATATATATATATATATATATATATATATATATATATATATATATATGGGGTTTACATTTTTGCAGCTGTTGTACGTGCAGCAATAAAATACTTGCCATATATATACTTGAAAGTATTAAATGCGGAGAATCATAACCATACACTTGTCGTTGTTGTACGTAAAGTGGCTGCAGAAATGATTTTACTTTTACCTATATATATATATATAGGTTTACATTTCTGCCGCTGCTGTATGTGCAGCAATCAAATACTTGCCATATATATATATTTAAAAGCATTAAATGCGAGGAATCATAACCATACAAAGGATGAAAACATTAAATATGAAAAATCATAACCATACACCTATCGTTGTTGTACGTAAAACGGCTGTAAAAATGATTTTATCATATATATATATATATATATATATATATATATATATATGAGCGAATAAGTACATGATTAGAGTTTCTTATGCAAACTGTATCGATTTCTTGTGATTAAGTTACAATAAATATAGTTGTAAATCTCCTAAATTATTGTACGGATGACCTGAATTTTGCCTATTATATCTATATATGTGCGAATAAGTACATGATTAGAGTTTTTTTATTCAAACTGTATCGATTTCTTGTGATTAAGTTACAATAAATATAGTTGTAGATCTCCTAAATTATTGTACGGATGACCTGAATTTTGCCTATTTTATATATATATATATATATATATATATATATATATATGTGCGAATAAGTACATGATTAGAGTTTCTTATTCAAACTGTATCGATTTCTTGTGATTAAGTTACAATAAATATAGTTGTAAATCTCCTAGATTATTGTACGGATGACCTGAATTTGGCCGGATAATAGGAGTAGAATATATACATGAGATAACGTAGAAACCACTAGCCAGTGGGCCACTATGCTAAAGGAAATATACTAAAATTTTTATTTATTTTTTAATATTATACCTACTTTTGCATGTCCTGCCACTTTCTACGCAGCTCCCCTTTACATTTTATATAAATATTCGATTCATCAATCATTCAATCGTTAGTATTATTACTTGTCATTAGAAAAAGTATGCCATGTTATTAATTATGTGGAGATATGATAAAATAATTATTTAAAAATAGTCAGAGCTTGTTTAATTCTTTTCTTGTTTTTAAAATTTTTATATTCTTAATATTTTACTCTTAAAAGTAGATTATGAAAAATAAACTTTAAAAAAAAATCAAATAAAAAATAGGTATTGGAACAAATTTTTTGTGTTTAAATTTTTTAAATTTCATAATTAACAAAGATAAGGTATACCCTTCACTATAAGAAAAGATTTAAACAACAACTGATTAAAGATTTAAGCAAAGCTTGTATATATTAAATTTTATTCTCTTTTGCACATGCTCCATAATTGATTGCTTTTTCAGCATCCAGCTTTTCAGATTAAGATTTTATTCATTTCTCATTATATTATTTTATGCTCTTATTATTGATTGCTAAGTACATTCTAAATGCCCATGTTGCAATTTTGCTAGGGAACCTTAAAAGATGGAAGGCAGGTAGCAGTGAAGACCCTTTCAGTTGGGTCAAAGCAAGGATTTCGTGAATTTTTGGCTGAAATCAACACTTTGTCAAATGTTAAACATCCAAATCTTGTTGAATTGATTGGATTCTGCATTCAAGGACCTAGCCGTACATTAGTCTACGAGTATGTGGAAAATGGAAGCGTTGATAGTGCATTACTTGGTAACTTTCCAAATGATTGGTGTGAATTATGAAGTCACAAATTAAATTCATATGCAGATGAGAGGATGAAACATGTAACCTTTTTTTTTTTCCCTATCTTTTTGTAGGCAAAAAGAATAAAAACATCAAACTAGACTGGAGAAAAAGATCTACTATTTGTGTGGGAACTGCTAAGGCTCTTGCATTTCTTCATGAAGAACTTGCACCACATATTGTGCACAGAGACATCAAAGCTAGTAATGTACTACTTGACAGAGACTTTAATCCCAAAATAGGTGATTTTGGGTTGGCTAAATTATTTCCAGATGACATCAGTCACATTAGCACAAGAATTGCTGGAACAACGTATGTCATATTTCAGATTTTTTTATTTTTTTTTTCACTTCGGAATTTGGTCAATTTATACTTGGATTATGGAACTGATTTATACTAACCATGTATGCAGTGGTTACTTAGCACCGGAATATGCATTTGGTGGCCAGTTAACCATGAAGGCTGATGTATATAGCTTTGGGGTTCTTATACTTGAAATTATTAGTGCCAAAAGAAGCACGAGGACAAACATGGGAATGCCAGACCAATTCCTATTAGAATGGGTACATAAGTCTCCATTTCCAATATTTATGAGTTACTTTGCAACATTATACATTTTATGTTTTGTTAGTCTCCAATTGTAAAACATGTGAGTCAAGTTGCGGGAAAAAACGTTTATATGCTGTTTCTCTCCGTGCTCCTTTCATTAACTACTTGTTTCGGTTATTTGACCATTGTGTCCTTTTTTTCATTTAAAAAATTTCATTTTGTCCCCTTTCAAAACTATACATTAATCTGTCTCTGTTTGACCAATATATTTGAACATATACTCGAGTAATGACTCAGATATTATGAGTAACCTGAAGAGTAGCTTTGTGGGTATCACAAAACCTATTGACATTATAAACTTTTGGAAATTCTTTAATAAGACTTCGGAAAGCCATAACTTTGAACTCAGATGTCCAAATCGAGTTTTATTTATTTATTTCACGTAACTTTTCAAGAGCTACGCGTTAAATTTTTTTTATAGAAATTCTTTTGAACATATACTCGAGTACATGTCAAGGGAACAAGAAATACTCGAGTATATGTTTATGAGAGTTGATATACTAAAATATATTGGTCATTAACAGTCAAACAAGATCAAATTGGTGTATAATTTTAGGACAGGGATAAAGTAGTAATTTTTAAATTAAAAAAGGGCAAACTAGTCAAATAGCCACCTTGTTCCACTTAACATAAAGCATTCCTAAGTTTTCCTTGGAGCAAATATTTGCAAGACATGTATTTTATTTCTCAATGTGGAACTTTGGATTGGACATAATGACATATAATTATTTGGTTTAACAGGCCTGGCAACTTTATGAAGAGGAGAAATTGTTGGAGCTTGTGGATTCAGACATGGAAAATTTTCATGTGAAAGAGGTGATTAGGTACATGAAGGTTGCTCTTTTCTGCACACAGTCAACAGCAAGCAGAAGGCCATTGATGACTCAGGTAGTTGATATGCTCACCAAGGAAATTCAGCTCAACGAGAAACAACTTACAGCACCAGGATTTTTCACTGATGCAGGAGAATCCCAGAATAGCTCTACTAAAGTTAGTATTACTCAGGTGACACCACGGTGATGCCTAAATAATTTCTTATGTCAATTCCAGAGTTGCAAAGGGAGACCAAAAAAAAAAGTAGGTTTTGTTTTCTTAAAAGTTAATAGATTTAGATAATCTATTTTGTTTCATTTTTTTTTTCCAAAGAATATAACGTAGCATGAATGATGAAAACATCCACATGCTAGTGCATGTTGAAAATGTTTATTTCATATTTATCTTACAGTAGGAAATTGGGGAGCAGAGTTTGCTTGAAACACAAATCACAAATTGTCCAACGTAAATGATAACGTACAATGTATCCAGTATCCTTCCCTGAAGTGAGGAGAAAATTTTTGGAATGAATTTATAATGAATCTTATCAAAAAATTAGTACGCCAAAATATTACTGATAATATTAAGTCAATTTTCCCCATGCAATGTTTGATTAACTGTGAAATATTGATGAGAATGTAGAATAATTTTATGAAAATAACATCCTCCCTTTCATCTTTCTTATTCTCTCACACTCTGCGTACCACCACGCCTACTATGCAGGCCACAGCCTCACCGCTGAACCATAACAACAAAAAACATCCCTCTCCTCTTCATACATTCTTATAACACAGACAGAGATTCCAACCTTCATATCAAGTTTCTCTCACTTTATCTCTCGGTTTGTGTTGTTTCCCACAATCAATTCACGTAAGAAAGAAAAAATGGGTTGTGGAAAATCTAAACACGATGTTGCTTCCGGAAACACCATCGTTCTCCAGCGCAAGAAATCCAGCGTTTGTTTTCATGGTGTGGCTTATGAATTGATTGCGGTATTTGGAGAGTTTTTCCTGAAGGTAGCTCTTAAATCTGGGGTTCCCATTTTGTGTTGAATCTGTGAATGTTTTAAAGTTTGACTTTTGGGGTTGGGTTCTTGATTGGGTGGCACCCCATTGTGGAAAAAAGTCTGGTTTTCTGGGTTCAAATTGTTAAAGTTTTATCTGGGGCTTTAAATGGACGTGTTTCTTGGAAAAGGGTCATTGCATTTTTGTGGAAGATGTGGACACCGAGTTGTTGTTTTATTGAACAGAAGAACAATGAAAATGTCGAAGAGATTAAGGATGTTAAGTCCAATGGCATTAATGGCAAAGCTTCTGAGATAACAAATGTGCAAGAAGACAACGCATTGGAGAAGAGCCAAGAAGTCGCTGATGCTGAGGATGAAGCAATAACGGAGTCAAAAGAAGAAGAAAGGAGAAGAGACGGGGGTTAATTTTGTCCCATAAAAATTAACTAAGTTTCCCATCGGATGAGATTCTCAATTCCTGGAAAAATTTTGCACATCTTGTGCCAAACATGGGAAAATAAAAAAATTCAATGTCACTTCTCCACGAAAATAAAATTTCCCCCCATACCAAACACTGGTGAAGAGGAAGAGATAGTTGAGTTGTCTGCCCCGCTCTATTTCTCACGTGCTCTGGTAATAATCACAACAATGAAATTTTAACTCTTTCAGTATATCTATCAGTTAATTAGACCAAGTTTGAAACCCCAGTTAAAGCATGGAAGCCTTTCATTTGTATGTCTTATCTTATTCATTACCTTTTCAGATTTTTGTTAATAATTTATGATCTATCACAAGACACAAATAACAGTGGTAGATAACATATATTTAATAGTTCGTACTTAACTAAAAATCCATAACTCTAGACACCATAAAAAATAAAAATAAAAAATAAAAATGATAAAAATAATAAGTGCTAAGGGGTCCAATATAACAAAAATCCAAAGCAACACGAGATCAAGCGAACGAAAAGATACAAAAGGATTTTGAGGGGGAAATAGTTTGGGATAAACCTACAAAAATCTTAAAAACATTTTAATGTGTAATGAATTATGATACATATAAACTCCGAACAAATAATTAGCAAGCATTATAAAGTAAATTATTGAATTATTGATTTGATTTGATTTGCTTTAATATGTTTAATTAATTCAGCTAAATTATTTCAACCGTGACTAAAACGTTACTCGCCGATCAGACGCATACCAGAGGAAATTTTAACACCAAAAATGATAATACGTTGTATTTGACACCACCAGTCAGCAATCCCATGATCATTAAGGTCAAAAAAACACTCTTGTCTAAAAGGATGTATTTAAACCCATATGAACATTGAATCTCCATGTAATCATTGTCAATAATGGATTTAATTCATACGAAACCTTAATGTAGGTAATAAAATGCAACCAATAAACATTAGAAACTAATAACAAGACAAAAAGATTCATCAAAGACTGCAGGTGGAGAAGGGGATAGCAGAAGAAAGATTGAGAGGGAGCTTAAGTATGATAAGGCAGAATTATGCAGCAGGCTGCTCCTCAGTGGCAGAAGCTTCTTTCTGGGGTTCATCTGCAGAGCCGTTAGAGGTGGCATCCTTTGGTAGTGACCCAGGTGTACCTTCTGCTGCTGCAGATCCAGTTACTTTAGATGCTGTTTCTTTTCCATCCTTACCATCTTTGGCATCTTTAGTCGGAGCAGGTGGTGGAGGAATCATGTGAGGTGGTGGTGTATGCTTCAGCTTTAACAGTATATGCCGCATTCTAGAAAGATCCGTGGGTTTGCCAGGCTTTGGGCCTTGGACGACCATAATTGATGGCTTCTTCTCCTGATCCTTTTTGCCTCTTTTCTTTTCAATGTTGGGAACCTCACGAGGAATGAGCTCTGCAATTGTTTTCCAATAAGCTTTGTCTGCCTCTTTGTGAAACTTCTCTTGATTAGCCACGAATAACTGCTCCACAAACAAATTTCATTTTCTACAATTAAAAGAGCAGGAAAAAAAAAACATCATGCGAAAGATGATATCATGATGCAAGTAAAACTTACCTTCTCCCTTTCTCTATTTTGAACCTTGTTAGTCTCAACATTAAGCTTCCTTTTCTCATAGAAAGCCACCTTATATTCCTCAGCTTCCTCAATTATCTTTAATCTCATTTCTTTTTCCCTTTTCTCCTTCTCCTCTAGCAGAATGGCATTTTGACTGTATAACGAAAGACAAAGGCATTCATTTTCTTTATGACAACTGAGTTCAAAGTTGCATTAGATCTTAAATCTTTATTGGCCTAAGATCAGAAATTAAGAAAATGATAGTTTTTCCATTATGTTCGAATAATTTTGCCTCTGATAACTGTACAAACAGAGAATTTATATTAATGGCATCAACTTTTTTCGGATAAAAAATTTAATAACAGTATTAACTACAATAATGTCACATTGACCTATTATTTTAAGCCGTTATCGCAAATAGTACTCTATGCAGGCATTTTTGGATATCTAAAACACTAAACACTTTATCTAGGCCAAAAAAAAGATAACTGTTTAAGTAATGCACCATGCAATTTACATAAATATTTCATATCAAAATTGGAATCCTAATTTCTGTATTGCTACTTGATACTACAGGAATGCTCAAATTATGCGGTGTATAAATCAAAACAACAAAAATTTGTAATATTTTTTCAAGCCTAGACCAGTTGCGCAGCATGCAATATATCAAACATTATAAGAGTTCAATCCTATATCAAATGGATGGGCATTATTGGCAAGATTTATTAGAAAATGGTAGAGTAAATTAGTTCTTCAATTATAAGAGAGAAGAGAACATTGTAAAACCATAAAGTTAAGGAGGAGAAGTTCAATTGTCTCTAAACAGAATGTAGAAGAAACAGGTTATTCAGGGCAAGCAAAAACATAAACCTGGGAGGAATATTTTTTAGGGGCGTAGAACCTGATTGTAGCATCGGATAACATAGATTTACGAGTTAATTTCTTTTGACACATGATAAATGTGCATATTTGCATAACCAGATTGCCCAATATCTATTACTCCCTGAAGAACACGGGTGGAAGAAATAGATAAGGAGAGGGAAAAAATTCTGCCAATAGCCTATTTAAGAAGCACACTCGATTAAATATTATACAGCTTTCATGTCATACTTTTCATAGCACTCACAAAATCCAAGATATGTGTTCAGGAGGATCTGATGCAATCCTCATCAAGATTTATCATCACCTAGTTCTTCTTAAATTGCTTACCTTATCTAAGTTTAACAGAAGAGAGATGTAAAACTCATTACTGTCACCTTGAGACATTGAGTACGATCATTTTACTCCAAAGGGCAAGGGGTCATACAATGATTATTCTTCCACTAATATTTAATCCAATAAAGTGAGCACACAAAAGAGACACTAAAAGTAGTATAATCTGCACTGTGATTGGAATCTCAGTCCGAGATGCTATCTTAAGTGTTTTGCACCATCGAATTTAACCTAAAAAATACCTCACCAAACAATAACTATAGACTATAGAGATCCAACTTCCATGAGTGAAAAAATTAATTACTCTCCTGCCTTCCCCTCCAAACTTCCTCCATCCAACATACTCTTAGAACTTGTGGATATAAATCAATTCCTTCCTCCCTAACAAACAATTATACTAAATCTTAGGAAAAATCCCATCTTCATATCTTACCACAGCTCAACTAACTACTTCAAGTGACATAGTAACAAACTAGGTTCATCAATTTGTTTCTTTATACATATAAGATCAAGCTTCCTGATTCCTAATTCCTGATTCCAAATCAAGTAACTGCATGAAACTATGTGATCAAACATGCTATAAACTTCTGGATTAAAGCAAAATCATCACAGATCTAAGCAGATTCAAACGAGATCCAACAAATTCACAAACCATAAGAAAAACAGCAACCACTCACCGGCGCCACTCCCGAAGGGCGTAACCTTCCTCCGGCTCCATATCACCTGGCGGCGGAAGCACTGGACCGTCGGAGACAAAAACATCGTCGCCGTAATCGTTTCCGTTTTCATTCCCATTCTCAACGGTGACCGACTCGAAGGGAGACTGAGAGTAGCCAGGATTCGGATCACTGAACCCGTAGATCTCCGGCGATGCCGCAGCAGCGTGATCGACAGAGACATCGCCGTCGGGGGAGAATCCTCCGGTGAAGCTGGAGTAGCCACCGTAGCCGGAGTAGGTATCTTCCTCTTCCTCCGCGTGGTCGGCGGCGGAGGAGGCGGAAAAGTGGTGGGTGGAAGAAGAGTTGACGTTCAAGTCATCGGTGAAGGTGTCGAAGGAAGACATGTCTGCGGGTTTCTCTCTCTAGAAATGAGTTTCTCTCTCTTCTGTGAAATACAAATGCAAATGCTGATTTGCTTGGACGGAAGTTGAGCAGTGCCTCTAAACTTTTTTTGACTTTTCAAATACTTAACGGTGAATACAAAAGAAAAAGAAAAAACAACAATAAGTATAAAACAGGTTTGTTGTTTGTTATTTTAAATGATATACGTTATGTCATTTTAGGAGAGAAATAGACATGGAAAAAACGGAAATCATGAGAAAAAGTTGATGATTTTTTTAATTTAAAATTTAAATTTTTTGTGTCTATATCTCTTTTAAAATAACATAACTTTTTGTCATTTAAAATGACAAACACTTTTCTCTATAAAATATAACAAAAATTGCAGAATTTAATTTTGATTCATTATTAATATAACGTTTTACATTGAAGTTAGAAAATATTTCATCGCTGTTATAGAATATTTTGTTATTTTTTAAAATGTATATAGCATTTATCATTTTTTTAGTCAATGAAAATATATTTTTATATAATAAAAACAATTGCGTTTGTTAGCATTATTAATGGATCAATTTTTCATTTTTTATAAAAAATATATTAAATAGTTGTCTTCAAATATTAATCATAATATTTTAAAAAAATTAGGTTTTAATGTTTCTAAAGTGAATGTAGATAAGTTATCTACATTCGCTCTCAAAACTACGTCGTTTTGAGTTAAAAAATTAAAAAAGGGCCGACCCAGTTCAAATACCCACTTCGTGAGTGTCTGGGGAAGGGAATACTCTAGGCAGTCTTTCCCCTGCTTTTTGCAGAGAGGCTGATTCGAACCCGCGACCTGACACACCACGGCAAGCAAGCTTAAGCTTACCGCTGAGTTAAAAAATTAAAAAAGTTATAATTAAAAAGATTATTATAACCCTGAAATAAATTATAATTACAAAAATACGTTGATTTCTGCCTCAAAACGACGTCGTTTTGAGCTCAATGTAGATAAGTTATCTACCTTGACGGTAGAAAAAACGAACCCAAAAAATTATTATGGTTATTATTATGTTGAAAATTTTAAAATAAGAAAAATATCTTGATCACTTTTTACACCTGAAAAACATGCACGAAAATATTTACTTGTGATATAAAATAGTATGATAATGTTATAAAAAAAAAAAAAAATAGTATGATAAGAAAATTTCTATTTGTTACCTATCTAGTTATGATAATCGATCATTTTTTAAAGCTCTTTTAAGTAATTTTAAAATAAGTTAATTTAACATACATTGAATACATTTAAGTAAATGATTAATAATGACAAATGTTTATAGAGATGTTCATTGAATAGCATTATTCAATAAACTGATAGTCCAAAGTAATTAAATTAGTTTGAATAAACTGTTAGTTTAGTTCTCAAATTTGTAATCTTTTAACTCTAAACCTTAACTCCTAATTCCAATCAACTTAAAAAAAAGGTCAAAATTTGTTAAAGCTGTGGGAGTTAGACTTATTAATTAGGTCTCTAATCTTTTTGTACCTCTTCCTTTCTTTCTAACATCATTTCAAACTGTTAACAAATGTCTTTAGTTATGTTTATTATTTAATTATCATCATACTTTTAGTTAAAAGATTAATGGAGGATATAAAAATAAGACTGTAGAAAGAGTTAAATATTAGTAAAATGTGATATTAATAATTAATTTGATTACGGTCTTAAATCGGTATTTTATATAAAAAAATTCAAAATTCTAGATAGAGAAAAAGGCTGTGTCAAAATATATAAAAACTTAAAAAATATGATAATTAGGAGCATGTAGGAGCACAATAAAAAGAGCTAAATATTGTCCACCAAAAAAAAAAAGCTAAATATTAGAGAAAACAACATTAATTTTACACAAATAATTTTTTTAGATAAAGGTATGCAAAAATCACTTTACTTCAAATTCACTTTTTAAGTAAAATAAATTTTACAAAATCAAATTCATTTAAAATTAAATTTGCAATCTATCACCAGACTTACACCAAAAAAATTTCACACAAATTTACAGGAATAAATTGCAGTTATTTATTACTAAATCAACAGTCACAAAAATATGAAGAAATATTCATTTTAATTATTCATCTTTTAATTAATGGAACAAACTCTTTTATCATTAAACTAATTTTATTGGTCTTTTAGAATAATTCATATTAATGATTTGCACAAATAACTTTATTTACTTGTTTTTGGTACATAATGCGCAAGTAACTTTATATTGTTAACATCCTTTATCTTTTTGTTTTAGACAACAACTTCTCCCATGATATTTTTTATAAAAAATAAATTGTAATACGGTGAAATAAATTCACAATTACAAACAGTATATTTAGTTCTTTAGGGGACATTTGGTAGAGGAAAAAAAAAATTTAGTTGAAAAACTCAATTACTGAAAATATAGTGGAAAAGTGAGTTTGGTAAGAAAATAAAAAAAAAAAAATTGTTTAGTAAACTGAAATATTATCAAAAAAATTGATATAAGTTAAATTTTTTTTCATTGCCGCTTTTTGGTTTCCCAAGAAAAATAAGAGGGTGATATTCTGAAGTGGACAAATTCTTGCAATTTTACATGTTACATCACATTCCTATGCAAATGTTTTACAAACTTCTACCAAACATGATATTTTTTAAATCCCATGTGAATTTTTCCATGCAAAAAATTAAAACTCCCTTATCAAACACCCCACGTTCTAAACCTCTATCTGTGCGAAAGATATAATATTTGGGCATTTAGATTTAGAACTTAAATTTCATCATTTCTTCCATGTGAAGCTCATATCGATAACTTGAGTTCTTAAATGAATTTTATTAAATAAAGTTTTAGTATCACAAATAATGCAAATAATCTCACCTTCGAAAACTCGTTACAACATTATGAGAAAGCATACACAAACTCTAATCAGAGCAAAATATTCCGTGTTTTGTGTAGGGGTGTGCATGGAGCGGTTCATAACCGGTTTTGACAAAAACCGAACTGAATCGGTTTTAAAAGATTTGGTTTTCAAACTAAACTGGTTTTTTTTTAAAAAACCGGTTCCAAACCGGTTTATGGTTCATAACCGGTTTTAATTCAAAATCGGTTATGAATCATAAACCGGTTATTAAGTTAAAAACCGGTTTTATAACATATTCAAAATCATTTTTTGATGAATTGTGTTATTTTTATAAGTAGTTGTTTCTCTCGGTTTGAGCCATTGAAGATCTATTTGGATCTTGATCTGGTTGAGAAAAGAGAGGTTTTCTTTTTTTGAAAATTTGGGGAATTAAAAACAAACAGCACAAAAAAAAAAAAAAACCAACAAAACTGCACCCAACAGTCTATCATTTAATGATGAGATAGCACACCCCGAAGGAGGTTCTGTTAGAACATGAGTTCAAGCTTCTTTAAATCTTGCTTAATTGGCACAAAAGCCATAGTTCAAATTCCTTTTTACTGTAAGCATCATATTTATGGATCAAAATCTATCCGAAAGAAAATTGGCATGAGGTTTGGAAAAAGAAAAGGAAAATCTATCCTAAAATTGAGTGTGTTAATAATACATCATAAAATTTAGCATTAGGCAAGTGCTACTAATACCACACAAAAAAAAAAAAACCCACAACAAAAATTGAAGTTTGTAAAAAGTAGAGCAGTTTGGTTATGGATAACCAATTATTTTTATGGTTTGGTAAATAACCGATTTATAAAATAAAATGCAGTTTTGTATGAAACCGGTTTTTTAAATGTGAAACAGTTTGGTTATTGATTGGTTTGGTTCTTTTGGACATTTTGAACACTCCTAGTTTGTGTATGAGTAATTTATATTTCCGAAAAGCAATACAACGTTAATTCCTTGGTACAAAGAGATATTCAGTAATTATTGGGGCCAAACTGTTAGTTTTTAGAAGTCTTTTCTCTGAATCTGTAATTATTCTCCCTTTACACATATAAAGGAAGATTGTTCCTAATGTTATGTTTGCATGGATAGAATGGTGTGTTTAGTAATGAAGTGGTGTGATAAAAGAGACCTCAACCCATTGTTTGGGAATCTTTTTAAGTAACGGGAAGGAAGAAAACTCAAAGCACCTAATTCCACTCAAACCTAACCAGTTTGAGGAGGGAAAGGAGGTTTGGAAAGAAGCGTTCCAAACCAGTCCACTCCATCCTTAAATCTTTATGCATCCCTATGCAGAGACATGATACATTTTCATCAAATCATTTTGAACCATCCCATTTTGTATGTACATATATATCCACTTTTCATAGCAAAGTTATTAGCTAAATCCTTTTCATTTAATATTAACATGAAGCTGCAATTAACATTTAGCAGAGTAATACGCTACAAGCACCGGTCCAATACAAAATCGTGCACAGCCCCAATCTGTTAAAAATTTCTTCGTATCAATTCAGATACAGGCACATATATATGTTTTAATTGTGAGAGATTTCTATAGCACAAGGTAATAGTTCTCTACCTAAAGACTCGGGAAGAAGAAAAAAATCAGAGATAACCAAAAGTGAAAAAACTGTACTACTTAAGTGAGCTGACCGCAAAAACTCCGTCAATGACACTGTCTTCAGAAGCATGCCTAGTGATAGAATTTTCAGTGGCATGAAAGACTATTAGCCGGAAAGGTTAGTGCAAACCAACTTCGAGTGTAGAAATACCTGTACTGAATGGTGTATTATACTTCAGTTAAAAAAGAAAGAAAGAATCAAATCTCAATTCCAATAGGCTGCTCTTTGAGTACACAAGTATAAAAGCCACATAAATATATGTACAGCATGTGGGGCTGCCTCATCATCTTTTGAACCGGCCTCAAACACACAACCGGCACTGCATTGCCTCTCATGTTCAGTATCTTTGTCTAGTATCTCGCTCCAGACCACTGGAGAATGAATCCTCTCATATGACATGAAGTCAAATGAGACCATCTCAACAGTTTATAGACAAATCAATTGTTATATATATATTTTTTTTCACTCTTTATCCTAATGAACTCTCCATAACCATTTGATTCATTTATGGATGACTGAGATCATCTGCATAACCTCGTATCACATTAGAGGATCCATTCCTACTTCAGAGAGGATCTTAAGATATGAAAAGCGAGTGTTCCACTTGGCATTGGACTCGGTAACAAAAAAAAATGAAAGACCAAGAACCCACTTAACTGGCAGTCATCCAACCAACAGTCACTCTCCGAATAGTTGCTTCAGTAACATAAGCATGTCCCAACAAAGGCCATCCTGATTAGTTGAGATGAAAAAGGTCGTTATACTTTTCAAGGAACGGGAGGAGCATTCCTGGGATATCTTGCAGAATAGGGAATCCGCTGCATTGTTTGGGGATATTCTTGCTTTAGACGTTTATTTGACAATCCTTGCACTGGCCTGATTTACAAAATATTAATAATAAGAAACAGTAAGAAAAATACAAAAAGAAACAGTGAAACCCCAGGGGAAGGTGTAAAGATAATTACTGTGTCTGTTTGGATGTTTGTTTTTTTAATCTCGAGAAGCTGTTTTTTTTTTTTTTAAAGAATCCTTATCAAAATATACAGAATCTGTAAAGAAAATCAAATATACAAAATCTCCTGGTCAAAAAATAACAGACCTGAAAGAACCTTCCCGCTTCTCAGTGCCTTGACCAAAGCCCTCCATCATGCACTAAAGAAGTTGAAAGGAGAATATATAGCATATCAATACCAAACTTAAAAGAGTTTAACACAAATAAATAGACCAAAATTGGTTGCTCTATTTATCAAAAAGCTTACCAATTCTTTCAGGGCAGAAATTGAACCCATTGGTCTTTTAGAGACTTCCATCCCAGAATCTAAAACCCTCACTGACTCCGATGCAGTTGAAAATGCGACTGACTCCTCTTTAGGCAATAGTTGGTTACCAAGAGAATTAACATTACTCACAAAACCATTGTCATTTGCACCATGAAATCCACTCACATCGCCATAAGTGGAAGCAGGATCAGCCTTAGCATGAGATATATATACATCTACAAAAACATTATAAAAAATTGTCAAAATGTAATGCTGTATCAAGTCATGATTAAATTTTTTTACAAAATCTTACCAGCCAATTGTTTGATAGCATACTCAGCTGCCTTATGTTGGGCTTCCCTTCTAGTTCTACCAATTCCTTCACCAATTTTTTTTCCGGCAAACCATGCCTGCAAAGGAGAATGACATCAAGTTCATCGAGGTATATCAATGAATTCTCAATAAACAGAATGGAGGACATATTTAAGTAAGTGACACCACTAATAGGAAGCAATGCGAAACCAAATTTGAGCCTATGACTAGAAGAGAATATTAAGATTAATTGGATCGTTTTTCCAGATAAAACAATAAAACCAACAAATTAAAATCTACCAATTAAGAAATAGGACACCCAACCTGTGTTTAGTATCTGGAAGACATAATTAATAATAAGTTTACTGCTACGTTGGTCAAAATCAGTTTCTTCCAGTTAATTAAGTATAGAAAAAATAAATATCTCAGGACAGATTAACAGATTTTAAAAAGAGAAATTTTTTCTAAATAAATGGAAATCAACCTATTTCATAAATAACCCCTGGTTTCCAAACATAATCAACAAGGACTCAGAAGGTCTTGCAGCCCAGAATGAAAGATACCTCAATGGAGAATTGCAGTTCTGTGCTACCAACTATCGATGACCAAAATTCCACCTGTTCACATTAAAGCAATAGAAATTTAAGGGGTAACATTGGGATAGTAATCTATGCAATGATGCCATAACTATGTTCTTGCAGACACATATTTCTACTCACTTTAGTTCCACACTTCCGTGCAATTTCTTCTAGTACTCCAGCAGCAGTATCAGAATGAAATAGAGAACTGCCCAATTCAGAGTCAAGATCCTTGTTGCGGGAAGACGAATTACTCAAGGAAATGTTATCACCTTCATGACAACCATGACATCATGTAATTTTAATGACAACACAGAACAAGATAACCAATCAAATATTCGGATACAAGTGTTATAGCTTTACCAGAGAAAGAATGATAACTAAAGAGTGATAATCTTGAGCGATCATCTATATGATGCACCTGCAAAGAAATTATCTTTAGTAAAATTAATTAACTAAATTACTAAAGAATCCAAAAGTATGAGCCTCCAGCAAAACTTCAGACAAAAGAGCTAGACTGAAATTTATTATAACCATTACCTCCTTTGGCAATCTTTGGTGGCTCTCATGGAGAATTCTATCAGATGGAATAGAATTGTCAACCTTGGAGAAAAGGGATGGATGATGAGGCCAGTGCTTCTCAATACTCAATGGTTCAGAATCTACAGGGAATTCTTTAGCTACTACCCGACTTAGTTGCTGTGAACCCATCCCCTGTTCTACAGGAAACCATCCCCCATGAGATGGGACATGTGGAGCAGAAACTTGTATGGGATGTCTACGGGGAAATGGAGGTTCAGTTGATGTTTTCTCCCTTGTATCTTGCCCATGTTGCAATATGAGAAGCCTACGCCTTGTATCTGGGTCTAATTCTGATTCAGGTACTTCACCCTCTTCTCTGGCAGGAGAACTATGCAAGCTGGGTTCTGGAGGAGCAACTTGACCTATTGGCTTAACTAGAGTAGTAGATTGAGGGAACTGTATTTCGCCAAATTGCATCAGAGATCCTTGTGCTGTTGGGGGAGGGACTGTACCAGAAGAAGACACCATTGAGTATTGAAGAGAAGAAGCGAAAGCGAGCCTGGGATCTAGATTAGCAGTCATTGCAGGGATAGTTGAAACAGCTGATTTTGTTGCATCCTAAAAGCAAGCACAGTCAAAAGAAAGATAATAAAATGTTAATGATATGTAAATCACAGGTCTCATATTCATTCAGCCTCAGGTTGTTACCTTTAAACTTCTTTCTACCTCAGAATCTGCCATGCCATCAAATATAATTGAATCTTTATTTCCATTGGAAAGAGATGCATCATCCTGAACAACAGTAAAACATAGACATACATATATTATAGGACAAAAAATTAAACGAATTACATTCTGCTTGAATTTCAACATAATATAACCCAGCAAATTATGGTCATTAGTCAACGTGTATACTTAGACATACACTAACCTCTGAAACTAGATAATTGCTCACATCAGGAGGAGAAGGTATATCTTTGATATCATCTTCATAGGCAAATTGAGGAATCTTTTGCAAAAAAACATCATCGAAATCTCTGTCACCAAATCAGAGGACATAATCAGGTCCAGGAATCCTGAACTTCATACTTTGGAGAAAAGTAAAGTGCTCAAAAATCAAAAGTGCTCAAAAATCAAGTTCTGACTTTAAAAAAGGGGGAAAAAAAAGATTTCCCAATTTGTCAAGAAAACTTAGTGAGACTGTATTTTTTTTTTTCTCTTTACTTCAGGTGTACAAATAAGCCTATTCAAGATAAATTTTAAAAGGTTTAGTTCTTACTTGAAGAAGCCACCCCTAACGTTGCAAGCAACATTTCTTGCAACACACAAGATAGGGACAGTATTGCTTGCCTACAAGACAAATATATAGGTTTAATCAGTTCAGAGAACTAAAGAAATAATGAAATTCTATATATGAAACTGAAGATATTGAGTATAAATCATATAGGCAAGTGAATTTACTTCAGCTTGAGGCGCATAATATGGAGCAAATGCAGGGACGACATGCACCCGAGGTTGGTCTTTCTCATCCCACACTTTCAATCGATCATCAATTACCAATGCCATCTTTGGATGGCATAAGCCATCTTGGAATACATTAAACAATGATTTCTTTAAACCTAATATAATGTATTGAAACACACAAGAAGCATCATAAATAAATGAAACAGCAGTCACAGAAAAGCTGGCGTGGATTTTAAATTTTAAATACAGGCTATCTTCATCCTTTAATTTGCTTCCTTTAGCTATTCCATTACACATATAAAGCTTCTAATTTGGAAACAAAAATAATAGAATGGTCAAAAAAAAAAAAAAAAACATGCCACTTACCAGACTTGACACATACAATACGATCTAATAGTTCTTTAGAGTTTATCAGATTCGAATCTGGATCAAGAAGCCTCCACATTTCTAGTGCATAGTCCCTTTCAGCCATTGTGCAAACAAAAACCTCAAAACGCTTGCGCCCTCTTGCAGTCAGGTAGCTCCGGAGATCTTCCCATGCAGGTCTCAACCTCACAAGAACACTTGTATCACGAATCTTTCCAAAGACCCAAGTTTTTGTTAGACTAATGATTCTGACAAGCCTATATACTTATATATGTTAAGAAACTATATAAAACATGGAATATTCTTTCATGTTGAATTCATCAAATCAGACATCAAAAGGCTCTGCTAAAGAAACATAAATGCTTCAAGCATAGGTCACTGTAAAACCATAATGTAATAATCATATACTCTCTCGACTGAACAACATGAAAGGCAGAATTCACACTAACGGAAACGTATCATTTGAGAACAGGATCAACGTAGAATAAAAACTCCAGAAGAAGATGCACAATCCTAATATGTGGCAGTGGATACTTTTAAATTAAAGTGATTTAAGTAGGGAAGAAAGAAGAGAGAATAAATGCTATATAATCTGAAGGATGTGTTAGAATGCAAGACAAACTACAAAGCACTAATCTCTATTTATACTAATATTAAACTCCAAATCCTAATTAAATAAGAAAACAAATCTTGAAATATTTAGATATATGAAAAACAATCCTAAGAGATAATAAAAAATATTCTAAATTGTTTACCAAAAAAAAAAATACTCTAAATTTATCTAATATACAATCACAATTGGAGGATGGTATGAATCACACACAACTCATTACTAATTCATCAATGTATGACACATTGGTAGAAAGATGTCACTAGAAAAGTTGTCAGACAGTAAGACGAGGTCAGTTTGGCCTGAAACCACAAGCAATGGGCAGATCAGGAGGAGAGACCAATAGCATGGTCACCGGCCAGAAAGTTTACTAGAAAATCGCTGAATGGTGGCAGATGGCGGAAAGGAGGCTGCCAGAAAGACAACATGGCAATGGGACAAACTGATCTAAGGATTCTGAAGATGGTGGCAGTGAGAAAAGCCCGTTGACTATGAGAAACAGAACTAACAATAGCACAGTGGAGAGACAGAGAGAGGTGCTAGAAAGAAAACCAGGCAAAAGAGACAACTAATTTGAAAGAAGAAAATAATCATGGGAATAAAGTAGAGATCAACATTTTAGGGAACTCGGTAGCAGAATAGTGACTAGACAAGTAACAGAGGATAATACTTCTCTGATATCATATTAAAATAAATACTAAATAATCTAAAATTAATATTAATTTGGTATGAAGGACGTGTTATGATGTGATACAAACTACCAAGCACTGATAGTTATTTATACTAACATTAAACTCCAAATCCTAATTAAAAAAAAAAGAAACAAATGATGAAATATAAAAATATTTTGGAACCAATCCTAAGCAATGATCTAAGATACTTTAAATTACTCTAAGAAACAATCAAGATTAAATGAGATGTTTTTCATATATTCTAACACATACAATCAAATAATTGGATAAAGAAAAACTACATACCTGTGGATTGATGCGTGTAAGAATAATGTTCTTCTCCTGTAACCTTATTAGTGGTCGGAGTATAGGTTGATGACTATCAGACAATGCTGGAACAATCTCAGATTGAATTTTTATCACTTTCCCATTATCAACAACTTGATCATTTTCAGCATATTGCTTCAATATACTCTTGTCATCTAGGTACCGCTTGATCTCTGCTTGCATACCAAAAATTCGTTGTGGATCTACCTCGGAGTTTATTTTTCTCTGAAGTGCCTCAATTCTATCCTCAAAAGAACGCAGTGTATTTGCCACTAAAAGAGTTTCATCCAGATCGAACACTATACCCAAACATCTAAGATTTAACATCACAAGGCATGAATCGTAAAGTCCCGAGGCAACTATAAATCCCCAAAAACATGGTCTGTCATTATTCCGTGAATACATTGCAACCAAATGTATTTCTTCCTCACGCAATGGCATTACAGCAGTCTACATGAGCCATGTGTGAAATCATGGTTAAAATCCAACAAGAGAATTTATAAAAAGGGATATTGATATCCACATATAATTCATGAGCAATGAATGCTCAATGCAAAAACAAACAAAACTTAACAAGGTTTTAAGCCCATGATTATTGGAAAAATGTTAAAGATACAGAGTGTCAAAACTATAAGATCATGGTTTCTCTAAAATCTATTATGAAAATATCAGGAATATCTCTAATGGTTAATCTGTTTTACCATGATGTCATAAGCAGAGCACACGTCTTTCATGTAGTGATACATGATTAACGTATCTGTTATTCTATTACATTACACTGCACTTGAAATTATCAATAAATTTTAAAATTCTTCATCAGCTAAGTATTTATAACATGTATCACAGATACTATATTTGACTATCATCACATGCTTCCTAACATAAAAAGCAAGCCTGAACAAAAATGTTATAAGATTAACAAGGAACAAGAATCAGTCTTCATAACCCAGTTGGGGTAATGATGAGTAAAGGAAAAGTGTTTAATCAAGTTTGGGGCGACCAATTAAGCAAGCACCTGGTGTTCAAACAGGTGAGTTGATTAGTCGAGACAATTATTTCAAGTGTGAGATTCTGTCCAGAGTCCATATGCTTGTATGGGAATATGGGTTTTTTTTCTTTTCTTTTTTTCTCCTTACGGTGAAAGTTTATAAAGTTGAGTTAAGTTCAGAAGTATGAGTTTTCACTTTTACAAGTTTTGCTAATTATACCTTGTTCTCCCTGATACACAAGGAGTGCAAGTGAGAGAGCGCGTCCTGCTGTTGTTGTTGTGTCAATGAGGTCTTTGACTCCATTTTGAAGCAAACACCACGCGATGAGGTAATTGTGTGAAGCACAGCAAGTGGTGGACACCGCTCACTCGGTTGCGAGAAGTGACTTATTCTGATTTCCTTCAGATCAATGTTCTTGCTCTTTTTCTCCCCAAGGTATATCTCTACCTCTCCCAACACAATCTCCCCCTGGTACACCACTGACTTATACATTTTCCCTTTTTTTTTTTCTTTTTTCTTTTCCCTTCAAATCACAAACTCAATTCAAAGTCTAATTGGTGCTTTCATAAAAAAAATTCCAATTTCTTACATGTAATTCATCATCCTCGTCAAGAATGCTTTAGATTCATCCCAGTTTTTTTTTTTCAATTATCGGCAACTGTAAACACATATATGTAACAACATTAGGCACTTTTGTTTTCTGAGAAAATTTTAGATCCGTAATTGAATACACGATGACGATGACGATTACGACGACGGTGACGAAGTTTGGGGGAAAAAATCCATAAACCCTACACTAGCCGAGGGTGAGTGATCATCAACATCAATCCCCGATTCGGTCACTGGTGATTGATTATTTTTCGTCTCAGAAAAAAAAAAACACAGTAATCTGGTGGCAGATGCTAGGGTTTGACAACAAGGAGATGACGAATTTGAAAGAGAATTTATTAGGGAAAAAAGAAAACCTAGATCCCCAAATCAATAGGTCAAAAATAGTATGCTTTGGTAATGTATAAGCCAGTGCTTATAAATAATGATAATGTCCGGTATTTAAAAATAAATAAATAGATGGGGGTGATTTTATAAATTTAGTAAGTTTAGTGGGGGGATAAATATTTTTTTTCTCATCGTGTGGATTTCCGAATTCGAATAAAGATTTCAAACCAAAGTACGGGTTTATTACGTGTATTTGGTAATCGAAAAGAGATTGAGTGCGCGTATTCACCGAGATTATCGAAATGTACAGGGATGTAGTTGACGGTGTGCTTACGCGTCGTTTTCTTATTGGCTGAGAGTTTACGTGGCTGCTATGACTTGTTCTTTTCTTTTTTTCTTTTTCTGGGACGTTTGATTGAGGAGAAATTTTTTGAATACTAGAGAAATATAATTGATAGGAAAATAGTTGGAAAGTGAGTTTGGTAAGAAAATATAAAAAAAGTTATTTAGTTGGAAAAAAATTTACCAAGCAAATTAAGTAAGATTTATAAAGTCTATATTTGGCTTGAGGTAAAATATAGATGAAGAAATAAATGACAATTACGAAAATATCCCTATTTTAAAAAAAATTTGGAAAATAAAAAAAATGAGGCTTTACTTGTCAACTTCACTGCTGTGATCACTGTCTTATTTGGTGCCTTTGTTTTAACATTGTTGTATCAGATGCACCCGCAACCGAAGATGACTACGCAGCCATATAGATTAACTTTTGCATCATACTATCATGGATAACCTCATGTATGCTATTTAGTTTGTACTGGGAGTGGGAAGTTGGAAATAATATATGTTGTGTCTGTATTTTTGGACACCCAGCTTGTAATTAATAATCAATATTATCCTTGAAACATGTGATTGTTCATTGGTTTATATCTGTGTAATTTAATTGTCAACTTTTCCTTGGTCAGCAGTTGAGATCTTTTATGTGGCTAAAGATTGAAAATTCAGTCCATTGTGTAAAGATTAAAAATACCAATTATTTATCTTAACTTCAATGTGTTTCTTCTGACATCTCAGTAAAAATACCAGATAATCAGAAACTTAAAGTCCTACAATAGTAAAATCTAAAATGGAACAAATAACGATAATTGTTCACGACAAAAAATAAGGTACAACACCTGAATACAATAAGCTGTGATCACAATGTTTAAAAAACAAAAGGTACAAAAGGAAGCAAGCTTTTATCTCATCCATCCACTTTCTCTACATTGACTGATGTAATTGGCTCCTCCTATCTAGCAACTTTGCAGCTGGACCGACTCACACAATTGTTTTTCTGTGCTTTGGCTTCACATTTAGTGTCACGTGGGGTCGCCACCTCCGGTTGGCTTGCTGAGCTGCTGCTAATAAAACTCTTTATAGATTCAATAACTAAATTTAATTCTATTTCCTCCTTTTCTGTAGAGACAGATATACACTTCCAATCTGAGACATTAACTGAAAAAAATAATTTGCCAATCTGAGATGGAACCAGACACTAACTTAACCAAATCAATCTGAGATGCTATTGCTACCTGTTAGAAGTATTGCCATAGAATTAAATTACTCACACTAACTGAACCCGTACAAAATATTGTCGACATGAAATTTTATGTCACTGATGGAATTGGATAACTGAACTCCATGGTTGTACCCATTCTGCAGATTGGCTACAATAGAAGGATCAAGTAAAACTTGCATCTGCAACAATAATATAGTTTAGATCCTTTGTACAACAAAATTAAAGAAGCAAAAAAATGAGAGAATTTACGAATTATGTCATTCAAAATGCAGATACTGAGGTACATACAAAAAATCAGTTGTGAATGTTAGATTCTATTTGACTCACCAACAGCCATGTGTGTACTATTCACAGCATGGTATTTACAAGACTATTTTTTGAAACCAAACTACACCAAAAAGACAATATACAGAGTCTACCAACATATCCCTTTTTTCCAAAAAGCCACCTGAAGATATTATCACAAAGACCTAGACAAGAACCCAGCCACCAGCAACTTTCTGGCATCATGGTTGCATTGCATGAAGATATCTGTCATATTGCTATCCCTGCCCAATCCTTGAACTGATTCCTGTGGGCCTTCTGCATTACCACCAGTAGCCGCATCCTTGCCAAAGATTGTCCCCAAAACGTGATAGTATGGGAAAGGCTTGTTGAAAAGGCCCTTGGCATTAGGGTGGCTCTGCAAAATGAAAATATGGTTGGTATTAGAAAAAATTTAAGATGCTGTATACGTAAATAGACCACAACGTACATTCAATAGAGTAAAAATAGAAACACCTAAGACCTCATTGACAAAAAATAGACATACCATTATGATATGACATTGGACTCTTGAGTAATGTCAAAACTTTAAAATACTACTCTCACAAATATACCAAGCATTTTAATTTAAGATGTCAAACCATAACATTGATCATATGAACAGATTAACATTGATGGGTAGCCATATGAAACATAAGACAATACTACATATACACACAACATTTGAGTCTTAATTTTCCTTCCAATTCTTCCCATAAGTCTATTTCTACATTATGTTTGTGATAAAAAAATTTATAAATTCCACACCAATACTAAAGTCTAAAATTATATCTCTGTGTACTTATAGAAACACCAAAACAAGGGCTCACAAAACGAGTTTACGAAGTTATAACCATCATACATACAACACTATCAACATGGAAATTTCTCAGTAGACTATAAATCACATAAATTGAATTGCTCGATGAAAGCTAAGATGGGTCATGACTGATGTATGTTACCACATTCTAATATTATATAATAACATTCTTACCCCTATGTACCCATCTCCTATAGCTATCATTAGTTCTTATTTATTGGTACGGTCAATTACCAAAAAAATGTGCAGGATTTTTACAGTGATCTGTCTGATACAAGTTAAGTACATTTTTTTAAAAGGAAAATTGCACCTGTCATTGCATAATAAGAAAAGTGAAATTAAATTTTTATGCATTGATGTTGTGATGAAATACCTTAAAAGATGTATGGATCTTAAGGCAAAGGAAGTTATAATAAGAACTGATGGGCTCCCAGCATCAATTTTGCCTTGTATGAGCTTCCCTTCACAAAGCACCTCTTTCCATGATGCCCCAAAAGCACCTTTAATATCTCTCCCGAACATTTTCACATCCAAATTTGCCTCTTCCGATACCTCGAGAATACATTTATCCGCTGCATCAATTCACCATAGCAATTTTCAATATCCAAATATACTACAAATTGATAGGTTTATTAAATGTCAAAGGCAGTGGAGAGGAGCCCTAACCTTTGAGGGATTCCAACTCGAGAGAAGAAAGCTGAACACCCTCAGTGCTATGATTTTTTAATATATATAATATATAAATAAGCCAAACATACTCAGTGACGGAGCCACATTAGCTCTAGCCAATACCTTGGCTACAAAATTGTAGAGTTGTTCGATAAAATTTAGTGTTTGATATTGATTAATTTTTTTAGTCATGTCTGAGTTCCTACGCTAGCTCCGCCACTTAACAAAATAATTTTTTAAATATATATTAGTTCAAATAAATTAAAAAATCTGCTACACATGTTATCCCCTGATCATACATGATAAACCAGGTTGATGCGAGGTAATTAGGGGTGATGGCCTCCCTTTACTTTTCAAAAGCGACTAATAGTTTTCACCATATAGTAATTGCACACATGTGCTTGTCACGCCTAGAGCCGGCAAAATGGGCTCGGTTCGGCGGGCCAACCTGCCCGACCAGCTAAACGGGGCGGGGCGGGGTGGGCTGAGTATGTCAACCCAGCTCAAAAGCGGGGTGGACTCATTTTTTGGCGGGTCAGTATAAAATAGGCTCAGTCTGGTAGGCCAACCCGCCAAACGGGACAGAGCGGGCTGAGTTTTTCAGCTTAATTTCAAAAGCAGGGCGGGACAGGCTGGCTCATTTTTTGGCGGGGTGGAGAGGGGCGGGACGGGCCGCCTACTTTGCCACCTCTACGCACGCCTACCAAGTTATTACCAAAGTTGTTTGATTTTTTTCTTCTAATTATTTTTTTTTGTGGTGGTTTTTTCTTCTAATTCTACTAAAAGATAATATTGTTTGATTTAGTTTAAAAAATATAAAATATGAAGTGTATTAAAAATGGGATTAGTGTTTGTTGTCTCATTTTTGTTAAAACTATTGTATTTTATAGTGAGAAAAACAGAAATCATGGTAAAAAAAATGAGAGATTTTTTTAATTTAAAAATTAAATAAAAAATAATAGTTTTAACTAAAATGATTGTCCTTTAAAAAAATAAATATTTTTCCCATTGAAAATATATAGAAAAAAGTAAATTTTAATAGAAAGTACAGTTAAGGGTTTGATATGTTTCACATGTTGCTACACACACTTAAAAGTGTGTGGGACCTATATTTTCTCTTTATCTCTTTTCTCCTTAATTATACTAATCATAATACGACAACAATAGATTAAGAACTATACCTTCAATATTTCTATGAGGCCTAGAAACCACTCTTGTCAAGTAACTCCAAAGGGTTAAGACAACCAAGTACACACCTTATAAACCCCTTCTCTTTTGTGCACACACCCTACCCTTTAGTTATGCCGCTATTATAGTGTAGAGTGATCTGTTATTCTCTAAAGTATATTTTCTATATGTATGTATATGAAAGAGGGTATTTAAATCCTATAGAAACATACCAATCTATGATTGGATATCTCCATTCTTCAAGGATCGAACATGAACCAAATGAAATGATACTACATGCTTTTTCATGATTGTAGAAGTGTCGAAGACCTTGGGACTGTAATGCTCCCCCAACATTAAACACAGAGCTTCTTCTCCGCAGATGTTGATGAATAGCTGGAGGCAAACATTGCTAACACTGACCTATCATCATTCAACATCCCCTGGAATTCAATTTTTATGATAACATGTTGGGAACTTTGGACGTAGCGAAACATCAGTATAGATGGGC